CCGGTGGCCGACGGGGCCGCGGCGGCGGGATGGGCCTGAGCCGGAGCCCGGCAGCCGGCGGGAAGCTCCGCCTCCCTAGGTCGCCCCTGTCCTGCCCCAAACCCGCCTCCAGAGCCGCCAGCTCGGGGTCAAAGGACAACCGACACCCTGCTCCGGACGTTCAGCTGCACAGCAGGGGGCCCTCCCCGCGAGGCCGCCGCGCCCCGGCCCCGAAGCTCCCCTGGATGGTTGTCCGGGTCCCAGCGGGTCGCTGGGCCTCCAGAAAAGGCAGACAGTTACCTTCAAGGCTCCTTCTCTAGACGTTAACCGTGAAGCGTGAATTTCAGAGCCACCGTTAATGTCAGTTTAGTGAAAGCGAGATGGGCGTCCAGGGACTCCCCGCTGCTGGACTTTAGGTGGCAGTGGGCGGCGGGGGCAGCTCCACGGCGGGAGGACTTGGCTCCAGCTCCGGCCGAGCCCCGAGATCGCTTAGGATCTGGGACACGGGCAGCCCTCACATCTTCACAAGATCGCTTAGGATCTGGGACACGGGCAGCCCTCACATCTTCACAAGATCGCTTAGGATCTGGGACACGGGCAACCCTCACTTCTTCACAAGATCACTTAGGGTCTGGGACAAGGGCAATCCTCAATTCTCCACAAGATCACTTAGGATCTGGGACATGGGCAACCCTCACTTCTCCACAAGATCTCTTAGGATCTGGGACACGGGCAGCCCTCACTTCTCCACAAGATCACTTAGGATCTGGGACACGGGCAACGCTCACTTCTCCACAAGATCGCTTAGGATCTGGGACACGGGCAGCCCTCACTTCTTCACAAGATCGCTTAGGATCTGGGACACGGGCAGCCCTCACTTCTTCACAAGATCGCTTAGGATCTGGGACACGGGCAGCCCTCACTTCTTCACAAGATCGCTTAGGATCTGGGACACGGGCAGCCCTCACTTCTTCACAAGATCGCTTAGGATCTGGGACACGGGCAGCCCTCACTTCTTCACAAGATCGCTTAGGATCTGGGACACGGGCAGCCCTCACTTCTTCACAAGATCGCTTAGGATCTGGGACACGGGCAGCCCTCACTTCTTCACAAGATCGCTTAGGATCTGGGACACGGGCAGCCCTCACTTCTTCACAAGATCGCTTAGGATCTGGGACACGGGCAGCCCTCACTTCTTCACAAGATCGCTTAGGATCTGGGACACGGGCAGCCCTCACTTCTTCACAAGATCGCTTAGGATCTGGGACACGGGCAGCCCTCACTTCTTCACAAGATCGCTTAGGATCTGGGACACGGGCAACCCTCACTTCTCCACAAGATCACTTAGGATCGGGGACACGGGCAACCGTCACTTCTTCACAAGATTTCTTAGGATCTGGGACACAGGCAACCCTCACTTCTTCATCCTCTTCCCGTTGCTGTCTCCGGAAATCCCGGTTTCTTTTTCGCAGAGGAACTGAGCCCTCTCCAGCACCTAGTCCCCAAATCCCTGTCATCCACCCCAAAATGTATGGAGAGAGAACCAGGAGTCGGGCACGGTTGTAGACTAGAGCTCCACATCCACCTTTGCGTAGCCGTCAAGATGCTCGCTCCAACTCCCCTTTGACAGGATTCACCCCACCCCGCTTCCCCAACAGAAAGCAACTGTGGTTTGAACAGCATTTTTTCCCCTTGAATTAGAAGAATCGGTGGGATCCCAAGCGTTGGTCCAGCCCCTTGCCCAAGGAGCCCCGGCAGAGCACTTTAGAAAAGGGCAGAAGTGTCCAGCAGGGGTAAGATTCTTCGAAAGGACTGGTCTTTGGGTGGGAGAAGCCTTTTTAAAAAAAAAATATAAAGATGACCGGTAAGGGGATCCTAACCCCTGACTTGGTATTGTCAGCACCAGGCTCACCCAGTGAGCTAACCGGCCATCCCTATATAGGTTCCGAACCCGTGTCCTTGGCGTTATCAGCACCACACTCTCCCGAGTGAGCCACAGGCCAGCCCGAGAAGCTTTTTGAAACATTGACTTGAATGGGGGTTCTGTAAAAGAAATCTGGAGGTGGTTTCTGTGTGAACCAGCTTACCACTAACCAGTAAGTGGGAGGCTGGTGTGCTCCTGGTAATAACAGATTGCACTGGGCGTGGGACCGCTGGCGGTAGGCAGGCCTTGCAGCAGTTCCTCGCCAAGGGATCATTCTCCAGACCCCTGGGAACTGAATCACTTTAGTAGAAAGCTTACAATACTGCTGCTTGGTCTTTAACTGATGAATGATGCAACATTTTGCAGATTCCCTCAATTCACTTTCATTAATAACATGATGGTTACCTCTTTTTAAAATTCTGAGGGGCTGAAATTTTGGAGAAGAGCTGTGCTTAAAATGAGGGGTTCCCCTTCCCCATACACTATACTTTTGCAAAAGAATTAAAACATGGGAAAAGGTAAAGAAAAAGCCGTTATTGGTGTACCAGATGTGTACATATGCTCTCTCATTTAAAAACCTTGACAACTCTATGAGACAAATATGACCATCTCTATTTTATAGATAATCAAACAGGTTCAGACATATTAACTAGCTCAAGGTTGGACAGCAAGTGTCAAAGGTAAGCTTCAAACTCAGGTCTTTTTGGCTCCAAAATATTTCCCTTTACTATACCACCTCAACAGCACACTGTTGCCTTTCATTTCAGTCCTCTGCTGCAACGTTCTGTTTCAAAGGACACAGTACACTGATTTCTTTCACATTACTTGCAATTACAGTGTTGTGGCTTAACAAGATTTCTCAGAAATATGGAATTATTGGAACAAATAGCTCAAGAGTGCAAGGGGCTTGCTTCTGAGCAGTGGGACCAGGGTGAGAAGGGGAGGGGTGAGGTCCCTTTGCATTTCACTGTAAGCTCTTCTGTACTTGTTTTGAAAAAAATCTATGTGCAAGTATCTCTTTGATAAATATTTTTAAAAGATTATTAGCAAATTTTAGAAACTGTGAAAGTTATTCAGTGCTATCATTAGCATTTTAAACAATTGTCAGAAACCAGTAAACTGCAATTTTGTGGTATGAAAGCGAATGACTTCACAGAAACTGGTTTAGGGAGAAGTGGCACCTACAACCTCAAAACTGAAAAGTATCTGAAAAGTCACACATCTGAAGTGATCTGCAATACAGATTTTCCAATAATTGTGAAATAGTTTTATTTGTTAACCATGTGATCGTACAATGATTTAGGGAGAAGCCTGTAGTTAACTTGGAGACCACACCCAGGCAGAAGAGAGCAGAGATGGACTCAACGCCCAAGCCTGAGTGTGAAGGCAAGTTAACAACGCGAGCAGCGGAGGTAGGTAGACCAAGAATTCTTAGAGGGAATATGTTTAACCTCCTGGCAACTTCTCTACATATTGTATTTTACTTTATTTACACCATGTCTAATAAACATCCACATTGGTTTGGGATGTTAGTTATGCTTTTTTTTAAAAAAACCCAGCTTTATGGAGGTATAATTGACATATAGTAAACTCTACAAATTTAAAATATACAATTTGATATGTTTTAGCATTTGTATACACTTGTGTAACCAGTACCACAATCAAGATAGTGAACATCATCATGCACAAGTTTCTTTGTGTCTCCTTGTCATCCCTCCCTCTTCCCACCCTGTCCCCATCCCAAGGCAACAACTGACCTGCTCTCTGTCACTACAGATGAGTTTGTCTTTTGTAGAGATTTATATAAATGAAATCATATTGTATGTGTTCTTTTCTGTCTGTCTCATTTCATGTAATTAATTTGAGATACGTCCATGTTGTTGTTTGTAATCAATAGTTGAATCCTTGTTATTACTGAGCAGTATTACATTGTATGGATATACCACTATTTGTTTACCCATGCACGTGTTGATAGTCATTTGTGTTGTTTCCAGGTTTTGACTATTACAAATAAAGCTACTATGAACATTTGTGTAAGAGCCTTTGTACAGACATATGTCTTCTGTTGAGTAAGCCTAGGAATGAAATGGCTAGGTGACATGGTAGGTGTCTGTTTCACTTGCTGTGTTTTAAAATGGTGATATCATTTTATGTTCCCACCAGCAGTGTATGAGAGTTCCAGGTCCTCCACATCCTCATCAGCAATGATATGGTCAGTCTTTTAAATTTCAGCTATTCTAATAGGTGTGTAGGTATCTCATCGTGGTTTTAATTTGCATTTCCCTAAAGACCAATGATGTCGAACATCTTTTCGTGTGTTCATTTGGCATCCATACATATCTTCTTTAGTGAAGTGTTTGAATGTTTTGCCCATTTTTTCCTACTGTTTTCTACAAGTATATTTTGAGAGTTCTTCGGAAATTCTCTGTACAAACACTTTATCAGATATATGCTTAGCAATATTTTCTTTCAGTACGTGGCTTGTCAAAACAGGTTCTAACATTTTGATGAAGTCCAATTTATCAGCTTTTTCTTTTATGAATTTTGCCTTTGTGTCTAAGAGATCTTTGCCTAATCCAACGTTAAAAAAAATTTCTCCTGTTTCTTCTACATATTTTATAGTTTTAGTTTTTACATTTACATCTTTGATACATCTTGAATTAATTTTTCTGTAGGGATCAAGGTCTGTTTTTTCCATATGGATACAACAGTTGTTCTAGCATCATTTACTGAAAAGACTATCCTTTCTCCACTGAGTTGCCTTCCCACCTTTATAAAGAAAACCAGTTGTCAATGTACTTGTGGGTCTCCTTCTGAACTCTGTTTTGTTCTGTTGATCATATTTAACTGTTGTGAGGCCAATACCACACTGTAGCTTTATAACAACTCAGAGTCAAGCAATTTTAGCCCTTCAACTTTCTTCCTCTTTTTCAAAGTTGTTTTGGCTATTCTAGGTTCTACAAAAAATCTGCTGGGATTTTGGTTGGAATGGCATTGTATCTTTAGATAAGTGGCAATAACTACTGTTTTCTGACCCACGAAGAAGGTGTTGTATTTATTTAGATCTTTAATTTTTCTCAGCAATGTTTTGTAATTTTTATTGTAAAGATATTGCACATCTTTTGGCCAGTATTTCATATTTTTGGATGCTGTTGAAATGGTATTTTAAAATATTTAAAATTTTTAAAATGTAAAACTCTTCAATTTCTGATTATTTGTTGCTAATAAATGGAAATCCAATTGATTTTTGTATATTTATCTTGAAACCTTCAATCTTGCTGGACTAACTTATTTGCTTAAGTAAGCTTTTTTGGTAGATTCCATCAGACTTTTTACATAGATGATAATGTCATCTGCAAAAAAAGACAGTTGTACTTCTTTTCCAATCTGGATGCCTTTTATTTATATTTCTTAAATTAAACTAGCTAGAACTTTTACTACAATGCTTAATAGAAGTAGAGGGAGGAGACATCTTTGTCTAAGTCCTTAAAAATGAAAACTTTCCACCGTTACCATTTAGTATGATATAAGCTGTGGCTTTTTTTTTTTTTTTTTTTTTTTTTTTTTTTGTACATGCCATTTATCAGATTAAGGAAATTCCTTTCCTTTGCTAGTTTAAGAGATTTTTCTTTTTCAATCAGGAATGGATGTTTGATTTTAACAAATACTTTTTCTGCACCTATTGAGATGATTATCGGGTTTTTCTTTTTTAGTTTTAATTACATTGATTAGTGTTTGGCTGTTAAGCTAACCTTGAAATTCTGGGGAAATAATCCAAGTAGCCATGATATATTCTCCTTTCAAAATATTGTTTAATTTGACTTACAAAATTTTGTTTAGAATTTTTGCATTTATGTTTATAGAGGATATTGGTCTTCTAATTTAATTTTCTTAATTTTTAAAATTTAATTTAATTTAATTTTCTTGTAATTGTTTGGTTTGGGTATTAGGGTAATTCTAGTCTCATAGAAGGTGTTTGGAAGTATTCCTACTCTATCATTTTCTTGTGTAGAATTGTTTTATTTCTTCCTTTAATGTTTGGTAGAATTTACCAAGTGAAGCCATCTGGGCCTGATGTTTTCTTTGTGGGAAGGATATTAACTACAAAATCAATTTCCTTGATACATATAGAAATACTCAGGTTATCTATTTCTTTTCGAGTGAGTTTGATAGTTTGGTCTTTCAAAGAATTTCCCCATTTAATATAACTTGTCAACTATATTGGCATAAAGTTGTTTATAATATTTCCTTACTATGCATTTAATATCTGTAGAATCTGTAGTGAAGTCACCTCTCTTATTCCTGATATTGGTAATTTATGATTTCTCTTTTTTTTTTCTTTATCATTTGGTTAGAGTTTTATCAATTTTATTGATTTTCTTAGATAACCAGCTTTTTATTTCATTGATTTTCTCTGTTGTTTTCCTGTTTTCTATGTCTCTGACTTCTGCTGTGTTCTTTATTATTTCCATTCTTTGCTTAGTTTGGGTTGAATTTTTACTTTTTTTCCTAATGTCTTAAGGTGGAAGGTGAAGGTCATTGATCTCATACCTTTCTCCTTTTTCTAGTACAGGCATCTATTGCTGTAAACTTCCCCATAAGCACTGCTTTAGTGGCGTCCCACAAATTTTAATACATTTGTTTTCATTTCCATTCAATTCAAAGTACTTACTTTTTTCCCTTTTGATTTCTTCTTTGACCCGTGGGTTATGAACAAAGAATTATTTAATTTCCAAATGCTTAAGTATTTTTGAGATATCTTTTTGCTATTAATTTATGTCTATTCTGTTTCGGTCAGAGAATATACTTTGTGTGACTTGAATCCATTTAAATTTATTGAGATTTATTTTATGGTCCCAAATATGGTCCATCTTGGTAAAAGTTCTGTTAGCTCCTGAGAAGAATATGTGTTCTGCTATGATTGGGTAGAGTGTTCTATAAACATCAGTGAGGTCAGGTTAGTTCGTAGCATTATTCAGCTCTTCTGTTTATATTTTTCTATCAACTGTAGAGAGGAGTGTTGAAATTTCTGACTACAATTGTGGATTTGTTTATTTTTTCTGACAATTTTATCAGTTTATTCTTATTGAATTGTGAAGCCCTGTTATTAAGTATGTAAACATTTAAGATTGTGAGGTCAGGTTAGTTCGTAGCATTATTCAGCTCTTCTGTTTATATTTTTCTATCAACTATAGAGAGGAGTGTTGAAATTTCTGACTACAATTGTGGATTTGTTTATTTTTTCTGACAATTTCATCAGTTTATTCTTATTGAATTGTGAAGCCCTGTTATTAAGTATGTAAACATTTAAGATTGTTATTTATTTTTGATAAATTGAGTCCTTTATCATTATAAATTACCTTCTTTATCCCTAGTAATATTCATTGTTTTTAAATCTACTTTGATGTTGATGTAGCCACTCCATCTTCCTTTCAATTAGTTAGTATGGTATATTATTTTTCTTTCTTTTACTTTTAACCTACTTATGCATTTGCATTTAAAACGTGTTTCCCATAGGTAGCGTAGAGTTGGCTTTTGCTTTTTCACCCCAGTCTAACAATCTCTGTCTTTTAATTGTGGTGACTATTGATATGGTTAGATTTGTCTGTCATTTCACTCTTTTCTTCTATTTACCCCATCTGTTCTTCATTTGCTGTCTCCTCTTTTTTTTCTGACTTCTTTTAGAATAATTGAGGATTTCTTATGATTCAGTTTTATTTTATTTGTGGCTTACTGGCTATAACTCTTTTATAATTTTAATTCTTGTTTTCATTTTTATATTGTACATTTTAAACTTATCACAGTCCACCTTCAAGTGATATTATACCACTTTATATATAGTATAGGAAATATAATAGTTTACTTTCATTTCTTCATACTCATTTTGCTTATATATGTTATAAATCTCACTATTAATTGTTATTTTTGCTTAAACAGTTATCTTTTAAAAATACTTATTGATATATAATTCACATATATAAAATTCACCCTCTTAAAATATATAATGCAGCATTTTTAGTATATTCACAGAGATGTGCAACCATCATCACTAACTAATTTTGGAACATTTCACCACCCTAAAAAGAAACTTTGTATCAATTAGCTGTCACTCCCCACTTTTTCCTATCACCAGTTCCTGGCAACCACTAGTCTACTTATTCTGGACATTTCATGTACATGGAATCATACCGTATGTGGTCTTTTGTGACTGGCTTCTTTTACTTAGCATAATATTTATAGGTTCATCCATGTCGTGCAAGTATATATGATGTATTAGTACTTGATTTATTTTTTATTGGTGAATAATATTCCATTATATGCATATACCACATTTCATTTATCCATTCATCAGCTGATGGACAGTTGGGTTGTTTCCACATTTTGACTATTATGAATAATGCTGCTGTGAACA